TGAGGGACACAGAATTGTTACTGAGGGACACAGAATTGTTTACTCAGGGACAGACACAGAATTGTTACTGAGGGACACAGAATTGTTACTGAGGGACACAGAATTGTTACTCAGGGACACAGAATTGTTACTCAGGGACAGACACAGAATTGTTAATGAGGGACACAGAATTGTTACTCAGGGACAGACACAGAATTGTTACTGAGGGACACATAATTGTTACTGAGGGACACAGAATTGTTACTCAGGGACACAGAATTGTTACAGAGGGGGACAGACACAGAATTGTTACTGAGGGACACAGAATTGTTACTGAGGGACACAGAATTGTTACTCAGGGACAGACACAGAATGTGTTACTGAGGGAAACAGAATTGTTACTCAGGGACACACAATTGTTACTCAGGGACAGACACAGAATTGTTACTGAGGGACACAGAATTGTTACTGAGGGACACAGAATTGTTACTGAGGGACACAGAATTGTTACTCAGGGACACAGAACTTGTTACTCAGGGACACAGAATTGTTACTGTTTTACCAGGGACACAGAATGTTACAGAGGGACACAGAATTGTTACTCAGGACACAGAATTGTTACTCAGGGACAGACACAGAATTGTTACTGAGGGACACAGAATTGTTACTGAGGGACACAGAATTGTTACTGAGGGACACAGAATTGTTACTCAGGGGGACAGACACAGAATTGTTACTGAGGGACACAGAATTGTTACTGAGGGACACAGAATTGTTACTCAGGGGACACAGAATTGTTACTCAGGGACACAGAATTGTTACTCAGGGACAGACACAGAATTGTTGTTACTCAGGGACAGACACAGAATTGTTACTGAGGGACACAGAATTGTACCCCCAGGGACAGAATTGTTACTCAGGGACAGACACAGAATTGTTTACAGAATTGAGGGACAGACACAGAATTGTTACTGAGGGACACAGAATTGTTACTCAGGGACACACAGAATTGTTACTGAGGGACACAGAATTGTTTCTGAGGGACACAGAATTGTTACTCAGGGACAGACACAGAATTGTTACTCAGGGACACAGAATTGTTACTCAGGGACACAGAATTGTTACTCAGGGACAGACACAGAATTGTTACTGAGGGACACAGAATTGTTACTGAGGGACACAGAATTGTTACTCAGGGACACAGAATTGTTACTCAGGGACAGACACAGAATTGTTACTGAGGGACACAGAATTGTTACTCAGGGACAGACACAGAATTGTTACTGAGGGACACAGGGGTGGTTGGTAAGGTAGATGATCCTGGAAGCAAAATTTCCATTTTTAGTTTAATCTCTTTCTCTGACTTTCTGGTCAAAATATTACTTATGGATGAGGACCCCAGAGCTCAGCATGGACTTTTGAGGTAACGCAGAGAAACCACAACACAAAATAAAATTAAAAAATGGGGCAAAACACAGCCCTCAAGATATTTTATTAGTATAAATCATGAAAATACACACAGGTGTCAAAAAAACCCACAAAACCATCATAGATATGTTTATTTGCTTAGATTATGCCTCTCTATGCCTCTCTGTTTTTAATAAAAACAATTCAGTTTTATTATTTTTAAACACTTTGTGCAACAAAATGGAAAAAAATTCCAGTTAATGTGTATTATCTTCTACCATCCCAGAAATTTCCTCTACGTGTTTTGCAGGACCTGTAGCCTGCTTCCTCAGAAGGATATACAAAGAGGTCAGGCGCTATGCAATATTGCCTAGTATAAAAGGAAAAAGAAAGAACACCATATATTGTAACTAGAGATGAGCGAATCGAACTCGGCGAAGTGGAATTCGTTTCGAATATTAGAAAAATTTTGATTCGCACCGAATCCGAAAATTAGCAGACTTCGGATGCGCGAATCAAAATTTTTCCAAAAATGGCGGCGACATGTGCGGTGACGGAGCAGGGATCTCTGGGAAGGCGCGCAGACAAGGCGCGCTGACCCAAAATGCATTCATTCATGACATGTGATCGCATTAGCCAATCAGCAGCCAGCCAGCCAGCACTGTGTAATCGTGGAGCTATAAATTGTGGCCATCTTACAATTCTCCATTTGCCTCCAGTCATTCAAGAGAGACAGATCTCTCTGTATTAGGGACACAGAACCGTTACTTAAGGACACAGAACCGTTACTTAGGGACACAGAACCGTTACTTAGGGACACAGAACCGTTACTTAGGGACACAGAATCGTTACTTAGGGACACAGAACCGTTACTTAGGGACACAGAATCGTTACTTAGGGACACAGAACCGTTACTTAGGGACACAGAACCGTTACTTAGGGACACAGAACCGTTACTTAGGGACACAGAATCGTTACTTAGGGACACAGAACCGTTACTTAGGGACACAGAATTGTTACTCAGGGACAGACACAGAAATTGTACTCAGGGACAGACACAGAATTGTTACTGAGGGACACAGAATTGTTACTGAGGGACACAGAATTGTTACTCAGGGACACAGAATTGTTACTCAGGGACACAGAATTGTTACTCAGGGAAAGACACAGAATTGTTACTGAGGGACACAGAATTGTTACTGAGGGACACAGAATTGTTACTCAGGGACACAGAATTGTTACTGAGGGACACAGAATTGTTACTCAGGGACAGACACAGAATTGTTACTGAGGGACACAGAATTGTTACTGAGGGACACAGAATTGTTACTCAGGGACACAGAATTGTTACTCAGGACACAGAATTGTTACTGAGGGACACAGAATTGTTACTGAGGGACACAGAATTGTTACTGAGGGACACAGAATTGTTACTCAGGGACAGACACAGAATTGTTACTGAGGGACACAGAATTGTTACTGAGGGACACAGAATTGTTACTCAGGGACACAGAATTGTTACTCAGGGACACAGAATTGTTACTCGGGGACACAGAATTGTTATTGAGGGACACAGAATTGTTACTCAGGGACACAGAATTGTTACTCAGGGACAGACACAGAATTGTTACTGAGGGACACAGAATTGTTACTCAGGGACAGACACAGAATTGTTACTGAGGGACACAGAATTGTTACTGAGGGACACAGAATTGTTACTGAGGGACACAGAATTGTTACTCAGGGACAGACACAGAAATTGTTACTGAGGGACACAGAATTGTTTCTGAAGGACACATAATTGTTACTCAGAGACACAGAATTGTTACTCAGGGACACAGAATTGTTACTCAGGGACACAGAATTGTTACTCAGGGACAGACACAGAATTGTTACTGAGGGACACAGAATTGTTACTGAGGGACACAGAATTGTTACTCAGGGACACAGAATTGTTACTCAGGGACAGACACAGAATTGTTACTGAGGGACACAGAATTGTTACTCAGGGACAGACACAGAATTGTTACTGAGGGACACAGAATTGTTACTGAGGGACACACAATTGTTACTGAGGGACACAGAATTGTTACTCGGGGACACAGAATTGTTACTCGGGGACACAGAATTGTTACTCAGGGACAGACACAGAATTGTTACTGAGGGACACAGAATTGTTACTGAGGGACACAGAATTGTTACTGAGGGACACAGAATTGTTACTCAGGGACAGACACAGAATTGTTACTGAGGGACACAGAATTGTTACTGAGGGACACAGAATTGTTACTCAGGGACACAGAATTGTTACTCAGGGACAGACACAGAATTGTTACTGAGGGACACAGAATTGTTACTCAGGGACAGACACAGAATTGTTACTGAGGGACACAGAATTGTTACTGAGGGACACAGAATTGTTTCTGAGGGACACACAATTGTTACTCAGGGACACAGAATTGTTACTCAGGGACACAGAATTGTTACTGAGGGACACAGAATTGTTACTCAGGGACACACAATTGTTACTCAGGGACAGACACAGAATTGTTATACTGAGGGACACAGAATTGTTACTCAGGGACACAGAATCATTGAATTAAAGAGTATGTCAGACAACATGCAGAGGAGTGGCAGAGGAGGCAATGTTTTAGGAGCGAGCAGACGTGGCAGCAGAGGAAGGGGTCGAGGCAGCACTAGTCGCAGCCAGAGGCCAGTGCTCCCGGTGTCATCCAGCGGTCGTGTCTCCACCGACAACCCTGCCGTCATCGATTGGTTGGCTCGGTCGTCTTCCTCTTCCCAGGTCACCTCTGACACCTACAGCCAACGGTCGGTGGGTACGTCACACACAAACGTTAGTTGGCATGGCCCGGGAGCAAGCCCACTGAAATCACGTGTCCTCTACCTACCCCTGTCCTTTGGTGCTCCCTCACCAAGCGAAGTATCGCATGCTGTGGGCTCAGCCCCACTGTACAATGAGGAAGAGCTAACAGAGGGCGGTCAGGAACGGGGGGAGAGACATCCGCCTCTTCAGCAGCCAGGCGAAGAAGTAGTGGCGAGGAGAGTGGCTCGGTAGCCGGTCTAGAGACAGGTCTGTCTCCTGACCCACACGCAGCCGAGGGGGCTAGTAGTGAGGCGGAGACCCTAATTGATGATGATGAGGCTGATCGCACTTGGCAGCCTCGTCGTCATCAGGCTATTGCTTCCGCATCATCAGGAGAAGAGGGTGGCAGCTTGGCAGCGAGCAAAACAGTCGGTGGGTTGCCCAGGAGGCAGCAGGGTCGCAGCAGTGTCAGTGGAGGCAAACGGCCACGGAGTAGAGCACCAGCTCCACTGCAGCCTACCACCACGGCCAGTAGTGGTGCCGGTGTGCACGGAGGAAGTAGCAGTCAGCCAGTGAGGAGTAGCGGGGGCAAAGTTTCCTACTCGGCGGTGTGGCAATTTTTTTGTCAAGCCGCCCGAGGAAGTAAACGTAGCCGTATGTCGACTATGTGGCCAGAAAGTCAAGCGTGGCCAGGGGGCCCATGTTGGGACTACAGCGTTGCATCAGCATATGCAGCGTCGCCATTTGGTGGCCTGGGAAAACCGAGATAAAGATACGGCGGTTCTGCCTGTCTCCTCATGCTGCTGCCAGGTCCAGAGTGTGTCATGGGTCCCTGTACGGCCTCCCATTGCTGCTGTCTCCATCGCCACACTCTGCCATGAGTGCCACTTTCCTCACACTGCTGGTGTGTTCCATTTTGTCATAGGGTGCTGGCAGATTACGGGCCTCCCATTGCTGCTGCCAGGCCTGTAATCTGCCATGGGCCCCTGTACCGCCTCCTCATGCTGCTGCCAGGTCCAGAGTCTGTCATGGGTCCCTGTACGGCCTCCCATTGCTGCTGTCTCCATCGCCACACTCTGCCATGTGCCACTTTCAGGTCTCCTCACACTGCTGGTGTGTTCCATTTTGTCATAGGGTGCTGGCAGATTACGGGCCTCCCATTTCTGCTGCCAGGCCTGTAATCTGCCATGGGCCCCTGTACCGCCTCCTCATGCTGCTGCCAGGTCCAGAGTCTCTCATGGGTCCCTGTACGGCCTCCCATTGCTGCTGTCTCCATCGCCACACTCTGCCATGTGCCACTTTCAGGTCTCCTCACACTGCTGGTGTGTTTTCCATTTTGTCATAGGGTGCTGGCAGATTACGGGCCTCCCATTTCTGCTGCCAGGCCTGTAATCTGCCATGGGCCCCTGTACCGCCTCCTCATGCTGCTGCCAGGTCCAGAGTCTCTCATAGGTCCCCTGTACGGCCCTCCCATTGCTGCTGTCTCCATCGCCACACTCTGCCATGTGCCACTTTCAGGTCTCCTCACACTGCTGTTGTGTTCCATTTTGTCATAGGGTGCTGGCAGATTACGGGCCTCCCTCCCATTGCTGCTGCCAGGCCTGTAATCTGCCATGGGCCCCTGTACCGCCTCCTCATGCTGTTGTCAGGTCCAGAGTCTCTCATGGTTCCTTGTACGGCCTCCCATTGCTGCTGTCTCCATCGCCACACTCTGCCATGTGCCACTTTCAGGTCTCCTCACACTGCTGGTGTGTTCCATTTTGTCATAGGATGCTGGCAGATTACGGGCCTCCCATTGCTGCTGCCAGGCCTGTAATCTGCCATGGGCCCCTGTACCGCCTCCTCATGCTGCTGCCAGGTACAGAGTGTCTTATGGGTCCCTGTGCGGCCTCCCATTGCTGCTGTCTCCATCGCCACACTCTGCCATGTGCCACTTTCAGGTCTCCTCACACTGCTGGTGTGTTCCATTTTGTCATAGGGTGCTGGCAGATTTACGGGCCTCCCATTACTGCTGCCAGGCCTGTAATCTGCCATGGGCCCCTGTACCGCCTCCTCATGCTGCTGCCAGGTCCAGAGTGTGTCATGGGTCCCTGTACGGCCTCCCATTGCTGCTGTCTCCATTGCCACACTCTGCATGTGCCACTTTCAGGTCTCCTCACACTGCTGGTGTGTTCCATTTTGTCATAGGGTGCTGGCAGATTACGGGCCTCCCATTTCTGCTGCCAGGCCTGTAATCTGCCATGGGCCCCTGTACCGCCTCCTCATGCTGCTGCCAGGTCCAGAGTCTCTCATGGGTCCCTGTACGGCCTCCCATTGCTGCTGTCTCCATCGCCACACTCTGCCATGTGCCACTTTCAGGTCTCCTCACACTGCTGTTGTGTTCCATTTTGTCATAGGTGCTGGCAGATTACGGGCCTCCCATTGCTGCTGCCAGGCCTGTAATCTGCCATGGGCCCCTGTACCGCCTCCTCATGCTGCTGCCAGGTCCAGAGTCTCTCATGGGTCCCTGTACGGCCTCCCATTGCTGCTGTCTCCATCGCCACACTCTGCCATGTGCCACTTTTCAGGTCTCCTCACACTGCTGGTGTGTTCCATTTTGTCATAGGATGCTGGCAGATTACGGGCCTCCCATTGCTGCTGCCAGGCCTGTAATCTGCCATGGGCCCCTGTACCGCCTCCTCATGCTGCTGCCAGGTACAGAGTGTCTTATGGGTCCCTGTGCGGCCTCCCATTGCTGCTGTCTCCATCGCCACACTCTGCCATGTGCCACTTTCAGGTCTCCTCACACTGCTGGTGTGTTCCATTTTGTCATAGGGTGCTGGCAGATTACGGGCCTCCCATTACTGCTGCCAGGCCTGTAATCTGCCATGGGCCCCTGTACCGCCTCCCTCATGCTGCTGCCAGGTCCAGAGTGTGTCATGGGTCCCTGTACGGCCTCCCATTGCTGCTGTCTCCATCGCCACACTCTGCCATGTTGCCACTTTCAGGTCTCCTCACACTGCTGGTGTGTTCCATTTTGTCATAGGGTGCTGGCAGATTACGGGCCTCCCATTTCTGCTGCCAGGCCTGTAATCTGCCATGGGCCCCTGTACCGCCTCCTCATGCTGCTGCCAGGTCCGAGTCTCTCATGGGTCCCTGTACGGCCTCCCATTGCTGCTGTCTCCATCGCCACACTCTGCCATGTGCCACTTTCAGGTCTCCTCACACTGCTGTTGTGTCCATTTTGTCATAGGGTGCTGGCAGATTACGGGCCTCCCATTGCTGCTGCCAGGCCTGTAATCTGCCCATGGGCCCCCTGTACCGCCTCCTCATGCTGCTGCCAGGTCCAGAGTCTCTCATGGGTCCCTGTACGGCCTCCATTGCTGCTGTCTCCATCGCCACACTCTGCCATGTGCCACTTTCAGGTCTCCTCACACTGCTGGTGTGTTCCATTTTGTCAAAGGGTGCTGGCAGACTACGGGCCTCCCATTGCTGCTGCCAGGCCCGTAATCTGCCATGGGCCCCCGTACCGACTCCTCATGCTGTGACGTTGCAACAAGGTGAATTCAACCCTAACATATGTTAACCGCCTTTACGAACAGCGATAAAAAGGCCGCATCACCTGATTTCCTGATGTTACAAGCGGATAAAGGTACTCCCCTGTGTAACTTAGATGTCAGCCATTGGCAGCCATGCGTGACACCTGCCGCTTGCTCTTTTTTGTTTTTTTTTTTTTTTTTTTTTTGGGCCCTTTGAGGAGGCCAACGCTATTCGTGAGTCGGCAGGACTATGGGATGAATGACGTCATTCCTCTGTTGCACGTCCTGGAACAAATGCTGTTAACAATGGCTGGTCAGGGTGCGGTAGACGTGGCGCACAGATCTCAACGCCACATGACCCCTGTGGGGGCAGGACAGAGAAGAAGAGGAGGAGGTAGAGGAGGACATTGGTGCTCAGGAATTATTGAGTGAAATGGGTGGTTTTTCCACTCAGCGGACAGGAGTGGAGGAGCAGGAGCATCTGGTAGAGGAGGAGGAGGAGACAGAGGACCCAGACGCACCGTGGCAGTATGCTGTGGAGATGGAGGCAGGAGTCCCTCGCATTCCTTGGTGCACAAATGGCCCATAGCATGCTCGGTTGCTTGCGTAGCGACAGCCGAATAATAACCATCAGAACAGAGGGATGACTTTTGGCTGTCCACCTTGTTGGACCCTCGCTACCGTTCAAAAATGGTGGCCTTTTTCACACCTCCTGAGAGTGAGGCCAAATAACATACTATAAAAACTACCTATGTAGTCAGTTGGTCTCTGCCTTTCTGCGCCAACGTCCACCCTCAGACACTGTGGGCCCTGTGCACTCGCGTTCCGCTGCCATGGCAGCAGGGGAGAGGGGTGGGGTGGTAGGAGCAGTGGCAGCTCCACCAGCAGCAGCTGCCTCAGTCTGCAGTCGATGATGAGTAGCTTTCTTCACCAGCGCAGTGAGGAAACTACTAACCAGCCGCAGCAGCAGCAGCATCAGGTGGACCTGGAGCAGGACCTCAAACAACAGGCTCGGGCCTACTTGGACAGCACCCTGCCAACCGAGGTAGACAATCCCCTTGACTACTGGGCAATGAAACTTGACCTTTGGCCCCAACTAGCTGAATTTGCCCTTGAAAGGCTGTCATGCCCGGCCAGTAGCGGGCATCGGAGCGCGTGGTTTAGTGCGGCAGGAGGTATTGTAACTCCGCGGAGGAACACGACTGTCCACCCAAAGTGTGGAGAGACTCACGTTTGTGGAAAATGAATCAGGCGTGGATTAGTCTGGATTTCAAACCACCAGTTCCTGACACAACTGACTAAATCCGCCATGAATCATGCCCCAAACATGTTATATTTTTTTAACATAGGCCTCTGTATGGCCTTCAATTTAAGCTGCTTACGCTTCGCCACTCTGCCATGGCCCCTGTACCGCCTCCTCATGCTGCTGCCAGGTCCAGAGTGTGTCATGGGTCCCTGTACTGGCCTCCCATTGCTGCTGACTTCATCGCCAGACTCTGCCATGTGCCACTTCAGGTCTCCCTCACACTGTTGGTCGGGTTCCATTTTGTCATAGGGTGCTGGCAGATTACGGGCCTCCCATTGCTGCTGCCAGGCCCGTAATCTGCCATGGGCCCCCGTACCGCCTCCTCATGCTGCTGACAGGTCCAGAGTGTGTCATGGGTCCCTGTACGGCCTCCCATTGCTGCTGTCTCCATCGCCACACTCTGCCATGTGCCACTTTCAGGTCTCCTCACACTGCTGGTGTGTTTCCATTTTGTCATAGGGTGCTGGCAGATTACGGCCTCCCATTGCTGCTGCCAGGCCCGTAATCTGCCAGGGCCCCCGTACCGCCTCCTCATGCTGCTGCCAGGTCCAGTGTGTCATGGGTCCCTGTACGGCCTCCCATTGCTGCTGTCTCCATCGCCACACTCTGCCATGTGCCACTTTTCAGGTCTCCTCACACTGCTGGTGTGTTCCATTTTGTCATAGGGTGCTGGCAGATTACGGGCCTCCCATTGCTGCTGCCAGGCCCGTAATCTGCCATGGGCCCCCGTACCGCCTCCTCATGCTGCTGCCAGGTCCAGAGTGTGTCATGGGTCCCTGTACGGCCTCCCATTGCTGCTGTCTCCATCGCCACACTCTGCCATGTGCCACTTTCAGGTCTCCTCACACTGCTGGTGGGTTCCATTTTGTCATAGGGTGCTTGGCAGATTACGGGCCTCCCATTGCTGCTGCCAGGCCCGTAATCTGCCATGGGCCCCCGTACCTCCCCGCCTCCTCATGCTGCTGCCAGGTCCAGAGTGTGTCATGGGTCCCTGTACGGCCTCCCATTGCTGCTGTCTCCATCGCCACACTCTGCCATGTGCCACTTTCAGGTCTCCTCACACTGCTGGTGGGTTCCATTTTGTCATAGGGGCTGGCAGATTACGGGCCTCCCATTTCTGCTGCCAGGCCCGTAATCTGCCATGGGCCCCCGTACCGCCTCCTCATGCTGCTGCCAGGTCCAGAGTGTGTCATGGGTCCCTGTACGGCCTCCCATTGCTGCTGTCTCCATCGCCACACTCTGCCATGTGCCACTTTCAGGTCTCCTCACACTGCTGGTGGGTTCCATTTTGTCATAGGGTGCTGGCAGATTACGGGCCTCCCATTGCTGCTGCCAGGCCCGTAATCTGCCATGGCCCCCCGTACCGCCTCCTCATGCTGCTGCCAAGGTCCAGAGTGT